TTGAACTCATTCTCTGTTTGGAGATTTGGTTTTGAGGTAAACCTCTGTGTGATTGAGGAAAACCAACACTTCAAAATGAAGTTAAGCACTTTTGTAAGCACAGATATAGTCAAGACAAGGCGAAAAGAAAAGTTGGCTGGAAAGTATCAGTAAAGTGATCTCATCGGTTACCGAAGCAGGCCGATCACCATGGCGTAAAGACCCTGCTCATCCATTTTTGTGTTCTGCAGTGGCGGACGTCGTAAGTTCGAGAAAGCATACTTTACGAAAAAACGCACCAACTTGTTGTATGGTGCTAAGAAGGGCAAGGCTCACTGACGGTTCAGACCAAGCTTCTGGGAATGTACCAAATCGACGGTCCAATGATCATGCAAACTATAGACTTCGGACAAGGTGAGTTACTCAAGGTCTTCCTGCCAATATGACCAAGTTGCGAAAACAAGGTCAAACAACTTATAAACAACGAATTGAGACCGTGATCATACAAAAGGCCACACCATCTTGGTTTTCATACCTTCCATTGTACTAAACCAAGCTCAGCAAGGATCCATCAGAGAGGCAAAAGGGTGGATCAAGGACTTCTCTAATAGTCCAACAGTATTCACAAAAAGGCAATCTTCCTTCCACCAAGTTTTCTTTGTGTGAATTGTTAAAAGAAGAGCTAAACACACACTTGGCTAAACCGACCTGGTGAACAAGCCTTTTTGACTTTAAATGATTAAAAAAATAAGGTCAAAAGATAATATAATACATAGAAAAAATAAGTTGACTAGATTTTTGTTTCATAACTAGGCTTTCGAGACTATCAATTGATTAAACGTATTAGTGAAGAAGTAGCACAATCCTATGAGTAGACTTCAAATTTCCATAGAATTTCACATAGTCCTTCTCCCAAAAAGCTGTTCTCATCCCGGTTGGAGTGGCCTGCAGTTTCGACATCGCCTAAACTGGACTCATCAGCACTCTTAGCCAGGATTTGAATCCGGGTTGTGGTAGTAAAGTATACGGTATAGACACGCTAAACCATAGGCCTTGTTGAAGCAAGTGACTTTGGATAAGTGGTGAGACGTGAATTTCAAGGAAACTCTGGCTTTTCCCACATCGTTTCCTATGGTGGAACGGTCGATGAAGCATAGTTGTATTTGCTAAAGTAATCGACTACATTACTTATTATCATGTATAAGTAGCTTT